AATAGTATTCCATTGTATAAATATATCACATCTTCTTTATCCATTCATCTGTTGATGGACATTTAGGCTGTTTCCATGTCTTGGCTATTGTAAATAGTGCTGCTATGAACATTGGGGTGCAGGTGTCTTTTTGAAGTAGGGTTCCTTCTGGATATATGCCCAGGAGCAGGATTGCTGGGTCATATGGTAAGTCTGTTCCTAGTCTTTTGAGGAATCTCCATACTGTTTTCCACAGTGGCTGCACCAAACTGCATTCCCACCAGCAGCGTAGGAGGAAGGTTAGTGTAATCTTAATATCAGTGACAGCATGCCAACGAGAAACCAATCTTATTCATGAACATAGATGCAAAAATTCTATACTAAATATTAGCAAACTGAATCTACCAGTATATAAAAAGAAAAATGTGCCATCTAGGAATGCACATATATTATCTTAATAGGAAAAAAGTTTGAAACATTGAATCTCAATCTGATAAGAGCTAGCTATAAAAAAAACTATAGCAAACTGGAAACTTTCCCTTTTAGATGAGAAATAAGGTAACCTCACACATATTCCTCTCCTTGAAATGTAAAAGGCAAAAGACGTGAGATCTGAAGAGAAACCAGAGTACACTTGGCTATGTTTGCCACTCTTTCCTTAACTGACTGCAACGGTCCAAGGCTGCTGCTGTCTATTCCTGTGCTGCGGCCCCTCTGCCAGAAAATCTGTGAAAGGGATTTTTGGAAGAATGTACATTTACCCCAGGAAACAGGGAAACATGCAGTTTTAAACTGAAGTGAAGTGTTGAGTGCAGCGCCCTGCAGGGATGCCCACGAACCTTCGAGCCTTCAAAACTTCGCTTAGTGCATCAGTAAAAAGGTTAGCTGCCCCAGTATCCTGTCCCCAGCCACGCCTCTGACTGGGAGCAGATCCAAAACAACCTCTCTTAAGGTGTCATCCAACTCTGGGAGACCTAGAGGATGGACCAATGTGCCATGCAGGCTCTCCTAGCTTTGCGGTGGTAAAGTACCCAGGGCAGGGTAGGAGGAAAAATGACCAACTGAACTTCCCCAATTTGATAAGAAACACCTAAAAAAAAAAGTCTATAGCTTACATTACACTTAACAAGGACTCTTTCAAAAAAATATAAGTTGGCCATAACTATTACTTCCTAGTTAGGGACCCATTTGTATTTTTACACACAAGAAACCTCTTTGAAAAAATCAAACATTTAGCTCTACATAAGGCCTCAAAAAAATTCACTACCAATTTTTAAGTGTTTCTTCTCCATGGAAACTTTTGCTAAAATATAAAAGATTTCAACAAATTGGATAGAAACTCAGATGTGCAGTCCTTCTGTGCCCATCTTCCCAGGTACTGGTGGATCTCCCAACACTTGCAATGCCTTTGTAACTACCAACAAAAGCTTTCCTTCCGTTATAGAGAATTACCCCTAAACATGTTCTTACTGGGGAAAATCACCTGACATGAAAATAAAAGGTTCATTTTCGTTGTTCAAACAGGTAATACTGTTAATATTTCTAATGTAATCTACTTTGCATTCTGGTATGCAGATGATCTAGTCAGGGAAACATCTTGCCCTCGGAGTGAGTGTAGATGGGCGGCCTTGACTCTCCAGCTGGGGAACAACTGGTTTCTAAGTTCTGCCTTTCAGTGTAGCAGTGTGTTTAGAACAATATTTACCCCGGTGTGCCATCTCCTTACCATCTGATCCTGCCCTCTTCTAGCTCTGCCTCTCTGTGTTTCCTTTCTCTTTACACCGGGGTAAATGTTGTTCTGAGCACACTGTTTGCTACACTGAATTGCAAGTGTTGGGAGATCCACCAGTATCTGGGAAGATGGGCACAGAAGGACTGCACATCTGAGTTTCTATGCAATTTGTTGAAATCTTTTATATTTTAGCAAAAGTTTCCATGGAGAAGAAACACTTGAAAATTGGTAGTGAATTTTTTTGAGGCCTTATGTAGAGCTAAATGTTTGATTTTTTCAAAGAGGTTTCTTGTGTGTAAAAATACAAATGGGCCTCTAATTAGGAAGTAATTGTTATGGCCCTCCCGTTTAACCACAAGCTTCAGGAGAGCAGGGCTGAGGTGCCACCAGCCCAGCTCCCCCCACGCCTGGCACAGTAAGAGGTGCTAAGAAAGGTCGAGGAAGAGGACAGGGATAAACGGCAGCAGTTGGTTCAAGGGGCTCTTCGCTTCCTTGCGCTCTCTGCCCTCCCCAGCCATCGAGCTGATCAAGGACCTGGTCAACTACGACGTGTGCCCGGCGCTGCTCAAGGGCCTCGTGGCGCTGCTGATACCGTCCTTCAAGGAGACCAGCAAACTGCAGCCCAAGATCCTCAACGGTAGGGATCCGCCGGGATTGGAGGTGAGCCCTGGGCGGGAAGGCGGGGGGAGGGGGAGGGGGAGGGGGGCCTCGGGCTTCACGACAGCCGCACCTCCGCAGACACGTCGGCCTCAGCTCACGGCCCACCTGCCCGTGTCCTGCAGCAGGCCGCGGCCGCCG